TGATTTCTTCTAACTAGGTTTTGAAAACGTCTCCGTTTTTTCCATGCCATGAAGGAGGAGAACAAGGTAAATATCCGTATATACAATGCCATTAATACTAAAGATATTTGAAGAAGGACGGAGTTTATACTTGTGAGATTATATTCGCATGAGTTCCTAGAATGCAGGATTTTAAGCCAGAATGGTCGAATGCAAATATTTTCCAATCATATGACAACTGAATTCACCGCTTTCACTTATTGCATTTTTAATTATCAACAAAATCTGTATCTGAATATATTTAAAAAATCAATATCACCTTAAAGAGTTTCATCCTAATAGTTGGTGATGTCAGTCTACTTCTTCTTCTAACAGCTCTCGCCATTACTGGTTAGACTAGCTCCGCTGTCTACAAGAATAAGACGTCTCCAAGCTGCTTGATTCGATGCCAGCGTTATTAGTAATAGAAGCCATTCCTTTTTCTATCGTCTAAGTCTATATATCGCTGGTCGCCTTATACGTTCAAAATCTTTCCTGGTTGTATCAGTCCAGATCTTGACTGGCACTCCTCGCTTTTGACGCCAACCATGATAGAGTTTAGCATTTAGCATGAAATATGCAACAGCTCTTGTGGTGGACGACGGAGAACGTGCCCTAACCACCGAAGGCCACGCTCTGTGATAGCATCATTAATACAGGTAGTATTTGAGCAAAGATGGATAATCATGTGCGATTTAATCCGTTCGATGGTTCCGTAAAATGCGCTTTAGACATGAGTGGTCAAAGGCTGAAAATTTCTTAATATCTTCCATCTCATTGGCCATATTTCGCAGCTATATAGCAAAATCGAGTGAATTGCAGCTATATGGACATGGATTTTCGTTTTTATGGTGACTTCGCGACAATTCCATAAAGCCAAAGAATGTTGTTTGAAAATCATGATATTATCAAGAAATTAAATAATGGCACAGTTTTTCATTATTTAATATTTTAATATTAATTTTTTTACGGGCGTACACCACTTTTTTCGCTGCCTTGTCGGATCAGGTAAATTTCAATAGAAATTTCAATCAGTTATTCGATCCATTGATAGGACCAAAGTATGAATTCTTAAAATAGGGATTATTCCTACCCAGAATAGAACCTTAGCATCGGCGCTCCATGGTGAGAATAATAACCCATTTTCGCCCTACCACTATATTACCCTACAATTTATTTGGAAAAGAATCAAAAAATCAGACATGGCAACATGATGTACATTCCATTCTAAAATAATAATAATTAATAAAATAATAATTAATGTTTATCAGTATTCAATAATATTTCTGGCAAAAAAATCAGAATATTTGTCATGCAAATAGATTTACACGTAGATTTAACTTCAGCCTATTACCTCTGGTACCAGTAATATTTAAGCATAAATCGGAATAGAGTTTAGTAAAATTTAACCAAATAAAATCTTGCAAGCGAAAATCTGAGTATTTGCCTTCTTTGTGCTTAATAAGCTCATAACAATGCATGATAGCATGACGTGCCCAAGTCAGGTTTAAGCCAGGTTTTTGTGGTTGTGCTAACTAAATTTCTACCCTAAGAAGAACGTTAAAATATTGTTTTAAGCATCGATATCGACAACATCTCGTCACATACTTCTACCTTGCGACTGTTTTTGATTCAACAAAGCGGCACTCCCAGAAGTTGTGCAATGCAACGGTATCCCAGATAATTATAATTATGTTGTTAAATTGTTGCCGCAATGAGCAGAACAAAGGGTCTTTTCGAAATAGGAACATGTTATCTTTCCCCATGCAATTTTCAAGTATGCGATAAATTGGATTATAAAGGCCACTTGCCTCAAAAGATGTACCAGTCCAGAGTATTATGAACCTTGAATATACTGGTTACCTTGTCTTTTCCTATGATTAAAGGAACTGCAACAGACATTCAGATGTCGACAGATATAGCGAAAATTAGCCTTCAAAGCAATACAAAAATGAACTCATTCTGCCTTACACATACGTTAATACGATTAATTTATACAAAAATTCAACAATGACCCAAATGTTTCGCAACCATTCTCATATCTAATGAACAAGATGAAAGTAAAAGATGAAATTTCAGATGGCTGAAGCCAGGGATATCTTCGTTTTTCTGGCGAAATTTCCTTGGATTCGCAGTGAAATAGTCTCAAAATAAAAGTTCGCATCTATGTGGCAGTAGTGCGTACAACTAAACTATCCTACTATATTGCGGGAACAATCGAAAATATTAAGAACCTATGTACTTTTGATTATTTTTGCATCTTACATATTCTCTAAGTGAACAAAATGTCACATTGCTTGAATCCACCTTCGCTATACCATCTGCATAAAGAATCGGCTCAAAATATTGGCTGCACTGGTTTAGCCATTTTCTTCTCGCACTACAAGAATTTGCTTTTGATTGTTTTCTAAATCCTGTGAAAAATCGCATTAAAAGCAAGGAGAACCGGAAGACCCAGTCGACTTAGAAATAACTTTAGAAATTGTCACGCATTACTCCTATTTTTACTCCTATTTAAAAAAACGTAATTTAATCATGTCAATCATTAAAATTATATTTGTGCAAATTATGTCAGGATAACTCATGTGCTATATACTTACTAAAGCTAAAGCTAAATATTTGAAGTAAATGATTTAATTTCTATCTATTAATATGGTTGTAAAAAATAAATTAATGATATTTGAAAGCAGTGGGATGATGCTCACCTGCCACACGTTAATATTTTAGAATAACCTTGTTCCGGCTGCTTTATCAGGACAGTAGAATAAGCACTGATCACCGAACGTATTAATAAAATTTTTATTCGCTACCTCAAACTTAGGTAATTGAACTTCAGTAACATAGAGATACGAAAAAACTATTCAATACAATAAATTTAAACCCATAAGCTAAGATAATAACTTTCCCAGAACAAAGAAATGGTTAAGTAAAAGATATTAAAAGGGGGTAAAATATCGAAATGTTGGGATCCAACCGCTTGGGTCCCTTGGTGGCTCCACAATGACAGAAAAAAGAACGATTTCTTTGAGAAAAATTTGCAATAATACTATAAATTGGCCTTTATTTTTTACTGACGAATTTGAATGCAAAGAATTATTAATTTAATGAAAGACTTCATCTGGCGGGTTGGGGTCTCCAGTTTGAAATAATGGATTTGAAATAAACATTTGAAATAAATAATAAATAAATAAGCATTTCGCGACAATGGTGGTCTCTGTAAAAAGCACAATATTCTAAAACTTTAACTGTACCTTAAATTAAGGCTTTTGATATAGCTTTATACTATTATTCTAATGAAATTATTAATAACAATGGTATTACTGGCAGATTACCAACTGGATTTCCGACTATCTGAGTGGTCGCTATCAAGCTGTTCGAATCAAGAACACCAAATTATCCTTTAGTTATGTCATCCATCTCATTTACTTGTAGATAAGCGTGTGAAATATAATTTAAGCATTAGGCTCCGATCTGATTTTTATTTTCAAGGTATTATTCTTTGGTATTATGCCGATTTGGTGGGCTTCCGAACGTGTGCAAAGGGGTTAAAGGATGCATAGTGGGTAAATTTAGATTTTTTAACTTTTTTTCACATTCTTTATCTTATATTAATCGTACACTTTTATTGTAAAAGCACTGTCAATTATCAGTGCTACTTCTCGTAAAATCACGTGACCCTTTAGAAAATTTTCTGAAATTTTCTTCTGAAATATAATTTGAGAGGATATAAAATAATTTTCTATGAGTCTTCTATTGCCTTCAGTTTATGTCTCGAGGGATGACGTTCCGAATAATTAAGAAAAGCATTTGTTTTATTTCTTCAAGCCCTTGTTTTGTTGCATTTTTGAAGTTTGCAAGACTTTTAAGCTTTTCGAATACTAAATAAGCCACCAACCCATTTCCATTACAATTTTCAATAATTTTAATAAAATTTTTTAATTACCAAAATCGTGCTGTTTTGAAAATTTTTATTTTATTTCTTTATTACGAAAATTTATTTTTCAACAACAATTATCTGGCAATAATAATAATAAATACAATATCCTAAAATCCTAAAATCCCATAACAAAAGATATCTTATGCTACACAAAGCAAACACTGGCAATGTTCACCATAAAATGAATGAATTTAAAAAATTCGGGAATTTTCCTCAATCTGTAATGACATAACAGATTTTAGATCTGTTAGATCTCTTTCCAGTATTAGATGCGACGATAGTTTAGCAGAAAGATGACTGCCAGCAAGAATCGAGAATAGATTTGATTTCGGCCTGATTTGATGCATCATAATAAGCGGCAGTTTCGCCAATGTGGCTATAGAGGGTTCACCTATTGCTAAGTTCAGAAGGCCGATGCCGAGATTTTACACCATGCAAAAGTAAAACTTTCCCTTCAAAAATCCGAATAATGCAAAAGTGGATGTAAATCACTTCTGATACCCAATGATTCCCTGGCAAATATTTATCAAATAAGCAGCGAAATTAATCCGAAATGGTAAGAGCTTTTTTAAAAAAAACTGCTAGAATAGTCAACAGGTAACTGAAAAATAAATTTCTAAAAGGTAAACAACAAAAAAATAATCACGAAGTGCGAGACGCAAAATCATATTTTACAAAATTTGACTAATGTATATTCTATTTGAAAAAAATTTTAAAAAGAGAAACCAATTTCAAGATTTTTTAAGATGAAATTTCAGAAGAAAAAATTTGGATCAAATTTTTTTCAAACAAGATTTATTCTTGTAAGATGCAATTATATAAATAAAAAAAGGCGCAAAACTTTCTAAACAAATAAAATATCATCTATCTGAATTTATATTTTTTTATAAAATTGCTGAAAGATGAAAGAAATGGTGGAAAATTAAATCAGAAACTGAAAATTTAAGGAAAGCGATACTGTTTTCCTCAAATTATTTGAATAGTATAAACTAGCAAGTTATTGGCTGAATTTCCAAGAGAACTTAGTAAAATTGCTAATTACTAACTACCGCACTTCACAATTAGACAAATCTCTATCGCTTGCCCCCGATAATCCGTCAGGTAATTTCAAAGAAACATCGTGAAGTTCCATTTCATTCTTCACCAAAAAATCCAATTTTAATTCATCCGCTCCAACGGTATGTTTTCTCAACGAAATCGACCGCATTGCTTCAGCAATTTTAAAATCAACTGCATTTACTAGTTGCTCGACTTCTTCTTTACTAGGATGTACATTTTGTACACAAAAAACCTTAATAAAGATGACTGAACTTTTAAAGATAGATGAACTTTTATATTTTCATCATTTCAAAAAATTTGATCCAATACTACTTAAACAAGTGGAAAAAATTAAGAAATTTGTAACCTCTGGACCACCACCATATGTTTGTACAAAAAAAAGCCACAATTCACGAGAAATACGCAAATGCTGCGAATTCGAACGGAAACGAATCGTTGAACTTTTTGAATCACTATATAACATCAAGCTATTGTCAATTGCTGGTGGGGGATCTAAATATTTTTGAACGCGATAGTTATCAAATATCAATCGAGAATCTTTTTATATAGCTAAAATTCGATCCTCACTAATCTACTTATTGCCTTTACTATCCCCTTATCATTTAATTTAAAGTTTTTAAATGAAATATCAACTGTGAATTAACTGAAAATTAACATTTGATGGAAGGATGGATTATAAAAAAATGATATTTTAATCTTTTGTAATGATTTATTTGCCCAGATGTATGCTAATATGCATTAATTAGTTATGAGTTCACAAAAAAAAAAAATGCTTCCGTATCAGTTATTACATCACTATAATTCGCATTATTTGTGTGAAGGCTGCAACCTCATTCTCACATAATTGCAAGAAATATAATTCGAATCCAACTATCAAAATGCTCATAAATCTTAACGTTTTTTATTTAAACGTATGGTAATTTGTTCTAGGTAGAGAACTTTCTTTTTTTAGTATCATCTTGTAATGACTAGTTTTTTAACCATTAGCCTTCGATAAGAAAAACCACATAAAATTCTCGTAAAAATGGGCCCATATCCAGAAGCAGTCGGTCGAACCAATAAAGTGGCAGGAAAAGTTCCGTGTTGCAATCTTATTCTCACAGTTTAATTTCGGACCAAAATATATAAAACTCAGTTAAAAGGTATATGTAATGTAATGTAAACATAATTATGTGATATAAGTGCTCATTTTATTTCCTTTTTCAAACAACCTTACTTTTTGTTGATTATTTTTTTTATTTTTATCAATACTCTTATTAATGCTTAATCAAACAAATTAAAATTAAAAAAAAAATAACCTATTGATTCGGATTTAATAAAGTCCCTCCATTTATCCATCCATGCCTTTGAAATTGCATTAGGCGGTAGATAATAATCATAAGTAAGATGTGGAAAAGATCGTGATGTCATTCTTACTCGCCTTTTAATTTCCTTGACCATTTTCAATTCGTTCTCACGCTTACAACGCAAATGAAGGTAGCTTTTTTGACATGGGATACAATAATGTAATTCAGAACATGCTGGGCCCCCACCAAACCTAAAAATAGATTTTAAAAAATGAATGGAAAACTTTGTGATCTTGAGAATTAATTTTTTAGATAATGCCACTTCTGTAATTTTATCTTTCGGTTCTTATGATTTTCGTTTTTTTTCGTTATTTTCAATATTAATTTTGAGTGGTCTGAGTTACAGCAGTAATGATAGTAATACCATTGATAATGACAATGATAATAAAGTTAAATTATTAGTTCTTAATTAACAATTTGATGAGGCATTTCAATTTCAATTCAGTATTTTCTCACAAATTTATAGGCATACAACAATTTAGATTTAGGTTTAAATATATTCTAATAAGTTGGAACAAAAAGGATATTTGATGATTTAAACCTATTTCAACAAAAAATTTCGGAAATTTTTGCATAAATATACATAAAAATTTAAGATCTTATGATAAAATAACAACTATAACAATAACCACTAATTCAATTTTTCAATTTTTCTTCATTACTATCAATATACACTTAAAAATGAATTCACTCACTCACTTTTCAGACAGATAAATCCAAACATCTTCATTAACATATGCACAGTAGCTAGTAAGATTTGCTGCTCGATGTGGAAGAATCTGGGAATGCTGACATAGAAAATCGTGATTGGTGATAGGACCAGGATAGGAAAAAGTGGATAGTCGATGAAGCCATTCTCTCGAAATGTAGTAGTTCGATGAAATTTTAAATGACTAAATAAAAATGTTTATGTAAATGAGAAATTGAAAAAAAAAATGTTGCAAATTAGAGTATTGTAGAATAGGATACATTGTAAACATAAAACAATGTAAACGGTTAGATGAAAGGAGAGCTAGAAATATAGTCAGATGATCAAAGAATCATTAATTCATTTAAATTAAAAAACTATTTTCCACAAAAGTTAGCAAAAATTGCAAAGAAAATAAGAAAAAAAATTATGACCAAAATTATGATAAATGGAACTCGAGGCAGAAAAATCATATTTTATTAGCAAACACTGTAACAGATTTAATAGACGATAAAATCTTGATATTAAGCATCAACCAAAAATGAAATGAAAAATGAAAAATGTAAAACAAAAATTTACTTAAATTAATTAATAAAAATATACCTTATAAGTTCCAGTCTTCTCCATTTCAACGAGTCGTTTCATTTGATTTTTAATATGATTCATAAAAGGACGCTGGCGCTTTTGGTAAAATAAAACATATGCTTCTTTAGTTGCTACATCAGCAGCTTCTACCTTTGTTACCACAGAATCATCGAATTCATACCAGCATTCATCATATTGGTTTTTGCAATAAGCAACATAATGCCCACCTAAAATTTAACCACACTATGGAAAAACGAAAATAAATAAGAAAATATATGGTCTAGTAAAATAATATACTTTCTATACCACCGCCACGATGAGTAATAAATGCACAGAGATCGAATATGGCGTAATGGTCACTTATCGATGCTGATTTGCTCATAAATGATGATAGATCCAGATCATTAAGAGGAAAAGTTACTCCAGTGCTTATCTAAAATTAACAAGACCTAAAGCAAAAACTCTAAAATTAAAAGAAGATATTTAAGTTTTTCTCGGAAATTCAAAGTATTTGAAAATCTTAACTTCATATTGACGAGAATTTCGAAAAATATAATTAATTAATAACTAACTTTGGATGAATAACTCGAATCATGCCGAAAACGTTTTAAATGTATGCATAGAATTTCAGGAAGCCGAGTAATTCGACATACTTTAATACCATCTCTTAATCTTTAATATCTTTAATTAAAAGATTTAAACAACAGAAAAAAAATTTATAAAAAGCATTTTTTTTCCTTCGAAATATTCCTTTAAAAAATTGAAGAACAAGGCTAAATAAAAAAAATATTAATGCATTTTTTCAATATGCTAAATCAATCCGTATAAACAAGAAAAATAACGAGCAGAAATCTAATTCTACTGATTAACTTTTAAAGTTTAGAAAAAAAGAGAAAAATATTCACTTGGAACAGTTTTCACAAGAATACATATTATCACCTCGCAAATTATCAGGAGTAAAAAAAGCGTTCAGTGCATCAAACAATGAAACAGGTGTTTCAAACAAATAATTATATAATATATAGAGCCAAAAACTGGTCAGCCATAAGATCCATTGCAACCCAATGGACATGTAACTTAACGCCGATGTCGATGTGAACTATAAAGCAATAAAATAATTCAAGACTGAAAAAAACATAAATAAACAAAAAACATAAAAAGCAAAAGTTCAACTTCTTTTTCATTTTTATATTCGGTTGCATCATCTTTTACAAAAGAACTATGCGCTACAGTATGATTCAGCTGATCTTTTGTTGGAATACTCAGTGATAAATCCTGAAAAAAACTGATATTTCAAAATAAAATTGATAATCGAATTCATTATTTGTCTAATTATTAAGAAAAAGAAAAATTAAAAAGATCAGGTAATTAATAAATAATTAACAAAAGACAATTTTAACAAATTTGAATCGAATATTTAAAATATCGAATACACAATAGTTTTAATTATATAAATCACAAAAATAACCAAACACACCTGAAAAATTTCATTAGTCTCGGAAAGATGATGACAAGTTAAACATTTTACTGTACTGCATAACTGACCATCAAATACATCACTTATGATACTTCTATATCGAATAGGCCGTTCCATGAAATTTGATGCTGAAATCGTGATATCTCCTATTTGATATATTTATTACCATTGCTTGAAATTAAAACAGATGAAACTTTCCCTTTTTCACAAAGATTTATGATTTCGAATATGCATGTTATATTTTTCTTTTTAATCTCAAAAGAAAATAATAAAATTTAAAAAAGTTACTTTTCACAAAAATTAAATTCAAGCAATTAACTATTATTTGCAAATGAAATTTGCAAATATATTTGAAATTTATTCACAAGAAAATCTGGAGTGCTCCAAACTTCGAAATTAAATTAATTTTAGAAATTTAGACGAGATAAAAAAATCTTTTCGAAAATACACCAATAAAAATTTTAGGATTACTTATACCATTATTACCTGAAGAAAAAGGATCGGATGGAATCTCGGAAGATCTTGTATCAAGCGCTTCAATTGATCGATTTTTTTTATATTTTGATGAATTATCCTGAAATCGATCAATTTTTTAAATGCAAATAATAACAAGAAAAAAGAAAAATGATAAAAATGATAAAAACCATCACATATTGTTAAAAAATGGAATTAGGAAAAGGGAACTGTATAAAAACAAAATAAAAAAAAAGATAAATCAAGAGAAAAAAAAAAGAGAAACAATTTCAAAAACAATTTACGCCTTCCGAACTCCAACCACTATCCGCAGTCTCATATCGGGTTTCGACTGAATTATAACTATTAGAACTTGAAGTTGAACTATCTCGACGAGAATAGCTGGTTTTTCCTTTACTATAAGTGAATATTTTGGAATGAGAACGTAATAATGATGAATCCAAATGGAAAGCTTCATGAGATAGCAATGGATTACTTCGGTCACGAATTTCCCACTAAATAAATATTAACAATGAAAGATATAAAATTAAAAAAATAAGATGAAATTAAATTATTTTTGGAGGCTTAATAAAAATAAAAATCACGGAAATTTTGGACGTTTGAAAAAAAGGCCATTATAATTACATAGTGATAAAATTCCAAGAAAAGTATAAAAACATAGCATTAAATATTAACTGGATAGACAGGTTGTTTTAATTCTTGATGCAGAGTGTCTAGGAAATATCGGATGAATTCTTGAGCATCCTGCTGCATCCATCCACGAAATTGCGGATAAAACAAGCGAATTTGCTAAATTATAAATCAATTATGGTCAGTATGATCAAAAAATATTAAAAATAAATATCGATATAATCGATATATGTGAAATTCTTTAATAACTTGAATATTGAAAAGAAACAGATAAAACATATGCGACAATAAGAAACCATAAGCAACTGCTGGGGATTGGTATATCCATTCCTTCGTGGTGACCAGATCGCTTGCAGAAGTAAACGAAATGAGCGAGCCATAGGAGGTTCTTTTCCTCTCTGTGCTGCCAAAGAAGCAAATGGTGCAAGCGATTGATGTGAAAGAAAGAAATCAGATAAAGGCAAACAATTTGAAAGTGCTTGCACTGAAGCATTGAAATAGCATGTATTTCCGAGATTACAAAGTCCAGTCAGACCTAAATTTTAAAAATCATTTTTCTCGCTATTATATGCAGATATTTAATGGAAAAACAAATAAACGCCGCAAATCAAATAGTCCCAATTCCTGTTGAAAATTAATTTTTAATCCAGTTAAAACATTTAAAATTTGATATTCCAACGTAATCAAGGTAACGCAAAAGAAGAATGAAAAGCATGGAAAAAATATGAAAATAAAAAAAAAGATAAAATACAATAAAAAATAACATATAAATAAAAGGCTACGTGGCTTGAGGAATACTTTTAACCAAAGTTCATTTCAGATTGAAAAATCTTAAAACCGTATGCGAATATTCCAGTTGATTTGAAAAAATAAAGACTTGAAGATATTCGTTACTCACTTAGCTCACCAACTCACTTAGCCCAATTCAAATGTCGCAAAAGTAATGCGACTCACAATCTCAATTAATAAATACATAATTTAATACATATTGCATTAACACATAGCAAAAAATGCACAATACATTTGGCTGGAATAAAACTAAATGAATTACCACAAGGATAAATCTGATCAGACTCGTCTTCATCAAGAACCACCGTACTCATAATGTCACCATGATCATTGAAAACGCGTCCTTCAATCGACTGCACTGCCTGAACAAGTTCCTTCAAAAATTAAAAGTTTACAAACATTTTTACAAATATTAAAGTAAATAAAAGCATACTTTTTCCAAGATATTTAAATATTTATTTAAGAAACCTTTATCTGAGCTTGAACGACATTTCGACCATCATGCTTTGGTCCATTATCGCAGTTTTTAATTAAATCATCCATGGTGGTAAAAGAACATCCGCCGATTATATCAAAATGAAAGTTGTTGGAAATCTTTGTTTTTCTTAGATCATCGTTAGGGCTCTAAATTTAATTTACTTTGCCTGTATTTTCTGACGAACATTGGCAGCAAGAGCTTGTATTTTTTCATTTTTTCTTCTTTTTCCCTTTTTATCCGTACCTTCTTCCACTGCTGTACATCTTCCTCAACAATAATTCTCGATTTGCCTTAAGTCCTGTTTCCTTATTGTTAAGTCATCAATAACTGAGAATTAATACAACCTATAAGTCATCTTTTCCCAAAAATATATTCAGTAAATTACCTTAGAATTATTAAACGAATATTCAGAGAACACAACATTATTACCCCCACACTGCAAAAAATTCGAAGGATATTTTTCACTGGGATGAGGGACAAAAAATTAATTTTAATTGACTTATCCCGCAAATATTCTTTTTATTTTCCAATGTATAATACAACAAATGAATCAATGAATTCTTATTCTTATTAAAGAAATTTTTCATTCACTTTTCGGATTGATATAATCTTCGAGAATTAAAATAGCAAATCTTGCGAAAAAAATAAAATAATGAAAATAAGAGACTAAAAGAACCTAGAAACATATCCAGAAGTTTCCCACGAAACTTTCAATGTACCCTAAGATTTGAAGCGGGAAAAAAAGAAGATAAGGAAAAAGATTATGAAAGTAAATAAAAAAATATTCGCGAGAAAATCACTTGGAAACGGAAATACAATTAAGATTGCAGCATTCTCGGAATCCCAATTGATAAGAAAAGAATTTAATCAACAACAGCTTATGAAGGTATGATTTTAAAATAATATTTTAAAACCAACTTTATCATTTATAGCATGGTAATCGTTAGAGTCTTGGTTATAAGACTGATTTCCGGATTCCATTTCACCCTGTTGTACGCTATCGCCGAATTCGTCACATGGTCGTTTCTGAAATTATTATTCAATTATTCAAAAAAATATAACGCTGAAGTTGAACTTCATTAAGTAAGTACCATTTTCGATTTTGAAATTAAATTGTTATTAAGAATTTCGTCAACTAAAAATGTTTGCAAAATAGTCTTTTCATGAGCTCAAACTGATACATCCAAAAAAATCTGTGATATTCGAGATTAAAACAGAAAGATATCTTTGCATTATCTATTATAATTCAATATTTAAAGTTTTATATATTTTAGCAATCGCAAGGACTGTTGCAAAAAGACTTACCATCCTCAGCCTAGCTTACCCCACGTACTACTAGGGAGAATCTCTTTTGCTAAGGAACTACTTGGTGGGAACTACTTGGAAGTGTAAAGCAACCGCAGCACCATCTGGAACTTCATCAACAACTTATTCAGCCGCTCCACTTTTCTATTATCTCCTATCATATTTTTCTCCGACCAATTCACTTGCAAATTCACTGTGTCCTACAATCTTTTCACCGAAATCATCTTTTTTCTTATTCTGTATTATTTCTTCAATAACAAGTGGATTCAATGATGGCCATATGGGACAGCGCGAAAGTACCAGTCGAAATCCTAACTCGTTTGCCAGTTGAAAAAATATTTTCTTGCTGTTGTATGCAATCATTTGAAGTTTGCATGGCAATAATTTTTTTTCCAGAGACCATCGACAGTATTGGTGCACTCTTCGATTCTGATTCCGATTTTGAAACGACTCTTTTGATCGAAAAGTTCCTCGACCTAAGTTGTTCGACCTTCTTTCCTCCATTTCTTCGACCTTTTCGTCGAGCCATTTTATCAAATTTTGATTTCTCAAACAAAACAAAAAATGAACCAAAATAATTTTTAAAAAATAAAAGTTTATTAAAACGAAAATTTAAATCTTCTTTGCTAAAACTGAACTTATTAAAAATTTTCACCAATAGTTAACCAACAATTTTGCAAAAATACGAAAGTAAATTTCCAAAAATACCAAAAAACCGGCTTATATTTACATTTACATATTGGCGAGCCGAACCGAACTGAACACCAGCTGCAAAATAATACTCTGACAAAAACGATTAGTCAGCCTCGGCTTTTTGCGGGTTCATGCGGCAGAATAAGTTGGCGCACTGAGGAATTTATTTTTGAATAAGCATTGGTAAAATGTTTTTGCAAAAAACGTCATTTGAAAAGGAGAGGGGGACATTCCGTCACGCTGCACACTCCCTGGTTGGATTGCTAAACCCCACTGTCTCGAACTGGCGCCCGCGGACCGAATATTCTTCCCTTCTTAAGCACACTTTGAAAAGGTGCCACTTGCCGGATTTGGAACCAACATCAAGAAACAATATCCGGTTTGAAAAATTGTCTGAAATTACCTATTCAAATCCCCCTTCCGCCCTTAACTATTTGTCGGTTGCTATTCGTACCGATTTTCCCATCGAGGAGTGGAAGATAACTGTAAGGTAGTGCATATTTTCACTTCTAAGTAGTGAGTGGTTGACCGATTTCATTCGGTGAGAAATTATAGATGGAAAAAAAAACTGATTGGTTGCGTTCTGCAGTCTTGCAGTAATACGATTGCACGCACCGTGCTTACACCGTGGCTGATGCAAGTGTTCTTCTTGATGTTGGTTTCGCCACGCGCAGGAAATTATTCTGGCTGCGAACATTCGGAGTAGAATTTTGCTATAAGACGATGCTCCACGAGGTCTTTTGTGAGAGCCAAAATATTAAGTATATTAAATATTAAATATCTCTTTAACTCGCAGTAAATTTAGGAATATAGCTTTTTGCGCAGTTTCCCGTAAATTGGGCGAAAAATGTATCACAATTTATCAATTAAAATCAAAACTTGAAAAATATGCATGCAAAGTTAGTCTTTCTTTCGATGTTATTCCTTCATATGGACATATGTGCTAAGGAACGTCAGGAAGAAAGAATGTGAAAAGTCAGAGAGATAGTGATGGCTGGAAGAGGAATTAGAGATGTGGGAGGTAAAGGCCAAAGTAATTCCAGTGATAATTGCAGCATTTGGAACTGTGGCCTCTAAACTAGAAAAGTGGCTTGCGGACAACATCAGAGATTGATCTCTGCCCAGAACAATGCATTATTAGAGCGAACAACTAGATAATGCGCAGAATTCTCTGCCGCTTAGATAGAGGACCCGAGGATGACCATTACCACCGAGGCGGTGAGAAAAGTTTTTTTCCAAAATTTGTATACATTTGTTCGGTACTCGACGCAGGGATGACATTCCATTTTCAACGCGTAGTCCTAGCAAATTATCCTCGCCCTAATAAAAAGCTTAATGAATTTAAATTACGCTGAACTGTGTATGGTAACTGTGTATGTGTTTGGTAAAGTAATAAAGTTTGAAATAGATAATATGAGACTCGTTTCTGCGTCTTAACATTAGTGCAAGATTATATTAATATTAGCCTATGAAAATGAGGAAATGAAAAAAAGGAAGATAATTCCATATTGAGCATTTGAGCAAATAATGGCAACATTAAACTAAGTATCAGAAAGCAGTATATGTGAAGGAGTGTCAAATGTGGTTTTCGGAGTTTAGAAGTTTAGAAATGGTGATCACAACTTATAGAATGTCCAAAGATCTTGTCTTCGCAAGTTGATGGAAAATTTCGACGCTCCATAGTCGAAGTTATTCCAAAGCAATTGAAAAAATCTTTGAAAGGTTGGCCAGTCAATAGTCAATCTGCATGCTGTATGAAAATCAGATAAAGCAACTATTCGGCTTCCACATGAATATTCATCGAAGAGCAAATGCTTCAACAATCGTTAAATTCATTGCTGCCATATGAAAATCTCTTCTAATATATTTGTTGATTACATCTTCGATAAAGAAATTAACAAAACACAGTCATCGAGTAACCATCTATTGCTTCGCTTCTCTATAGATGAACCATTGATTCTGCGGCAACCTTGGTTGTCAATCGCCAGTGGCATCAACTAAAGAAACACCCGCTAAACTTGGCATTCATGGCTGAAGAAGACTTTTGTATGTGGTAGGGAATAAAGAGAAATTTATTTTGAGCATTCACTGAATTCATATCTGTGCAATTTGTTACCTCTAACGTCTATTTCGATAACTCAATTATCTTCAAGAACTTTTCACTGAAAAAAAAATTATTTCTTTTAAAAAAAACAGCAGCCTTGAAGAATATTTGAAATTCATGGAAAATTCATGAATAGATGCAAATATCTGTGAAAAGCAATTCGTGAAGTCGTTTTTGATGGAGAAAACTGAACAATGGTACTTATGTAACTTATTAATATTACGTAATTTTCTTGAATTTTCAGTGCAAATTTTGGTTAAAATATGGCCTTATTTGAAAACCCATTATTATTATAGATAATTTAACAGAATTTTGAAGAAATAAAATAAAAACAAAAATAATAAGAGAGCGGTCATTGCTAGATAGAGGTTAATTTAAATTAAGAAAAGCATAAAAACGTCGACTTATTTCATGACGAATTATTTTATGTCAGCGAAAACCTTCCAACCTTTCGTTTAGGCAAACTTTATAATACTCTTATCTTATAATATTGTCAATAACACTATTGTATTTTCTTTTAAAACTATCTTCGATGGCATAAATTCGCTTATTCTAGCATTTATCCATTCCAGAACAAGTGAAGAAGTTGCCATTTTTGAATCTGCAAGTTGGCTTTAGTAGCATATTAAATTATATTGAATATATGAACTGGTAAGCCCTAACCCTAAATCATTAAATCATTAAAAATTATTACTTTTATATTAATATTTTTCTCTTTTCTCTCTTTCTTCTTTTCTTAATTAATTATTCCACTTTTCCACTTTTTCATTTCAAATCTCTGGATTATTTCCTCACCTATAATTTAATTTTCCGTCGCATTTCTTGTCTTATAAATTTTCTTCCGTTCTGTATTTGATCTTGCACTTGCAGCTATTTCTTGCCAATAAATAAGCCTGAGGAGTTATCAGGCTTACGAAAAAGCGGTAAAGTGGAATAATTAAACATTCAGCAATCAGTAATTAT